CCCAAAGTTGGAGGTAGGGGACCAAGAATTTGGTTTTGCACCATATTTAGGTAGATGAGACTCTTCATGTTTCCTATTTCTGAGGGGATAGAACCACTGATTTTATTTTGCCGAAGATTTAGGTACTTCAACTTGGATAAAAGACATAAAGTTGGAGGTAGGGAACCATTAAGTTGGTTATAATTCATGCGTAGAAAGCTGAGATTCTTCATGTCTCCAAATTCTTGAGGGATGGAACCTGTGACAGATATGTCAAATTAGTCAGTTGGACGACCTGACAGCATGATGGAGGACGTTTAATAGTAAACAAATTGGCTAATTGACCTAAAGTGGAAGGAACTTCACCTGAAAGAAGGTTGCCAGAAAGATCCAAAGCAACCAAATTATGTAGCTTCCCAATTTCTGGTGGAATGGATCCACTAAGTTGGTTGCTCCCAAGAGACAAATTTCTAAGTTTGGTTAGATGACCCAAACCAGGAGGGATGCTTCCGCTAAAACCTTTGTTATTAAGATCAAGCCGAAGAAGATTGGGGAAGGCAGAAAAGTTCATCCTTGTAACTATTTCTCCCTCGTCATAATAATAACTATCTGGAAGGCTAATCTCGATGACACTTCCATCGTGGTTGCATTTTACACCAGGCCACCGACAATGATTTGCAGTGTCGTTGACATGGCCATTCCACCACCCACTCTCCAACAATGCTCGAGCTTCTGAATCTTGTGAATCTGCTGCTACTAACATTATCGAGGGTACTGCAAGAAAAATAATCCATACAACTGTTGCCACAATGGAAGCAGTTAGAACAGATGATGAGGATGTCATGTTTAAGCTTCTTTTGTATAATATATTACCTCTCCTATTTGCCTGCCTTCTGAATTTAAATACAAGCTATAGCCGCGTATTCATTTACTCCAAGGGGATCGATACATCTGTTACATCAAAGTCAACTAGTCAAGTCAATGGAGAATGATGAACATCTTTTCTTTTTGAATGAATATATATTCTACTTAAGAGAATTGACAACTAAGGTCCATGCTCTGTGTGAACAATGTTTTACTCTTCTCATCCTTGGTTTCTGAGAAAGTGTGGTACGGGGAATCCAATGCCTGTCGGTAACAACACGTCACTAAAAGCAAACAGTCACACCGTGTTCAACATGAATTCTTGTCTGCTGAATTTCCACGTTCAGATTACAAGCAAATTCGGTGTGGCTATTGGTGTCCTGTGTGAGAAAAAGCTTAGGGCGATGGAGGCTTCATTGCACTTAATCCCAGATGAATTTCCTCGACATTCCAATTAACATGATCAAGAATTTCAGCTTTGCATTGTATATTAAATTAGAAGGCTACAGATGTTTCGTGCTGATGCAGCTATGACTTTTCTTCAAGAGACCCAGTCTAATCGACGACTGAAGTCCTAGTCCCAGAACCTGAATACGTATCATCTCGCAACAAAACCTCTCTCCGCGAAGTATGACGCCTCTTCCTCTCTTGCAATTGGCCAATGGCGGTGCTTTGAGTTCTTTTTCGGCAGCAGAAAATGAATTTGATGAAGATGAAGCCATTTTTCTGGAAGTACTCTTGCTCACAAAAATTAGATAATAGCTGTTTCAAATTATGTTACCTTGCTACAATAAGGATGTAAAACCAAAAGAAATTGTTCAGATCTCTCTTGATTTTAAACGCAGGTCGCACAATTTGAAAACTAGGGTTTAGTTTGAGCCGAGGCAATTCGGGGAAAAGTTTTGCTCATTTTAATGCAGGAAACAGAGGAAGTCCCTGGCTTAAATAGCCTTTTTTTTTTTTTGTTTAAAATTTTAATACGAAAATTCAATGCCTTGAAACGACACCATTTTGGTGGCTGCAACTTCTCCGAGGATCTTTTGTTTGTCCAAATCTCCCAGAGTTATTCACCAAAAAAACAAAAATCTTCCCTGAGTTGAGTGCATTGGTTTTATGCTGCTAATCTTCCCTAGGTTGACGATATTTGGTGCTTGCAAGATCTTCTCATATGCTGCCAATTTTATGTAAGCTTCTTGAAAACCCTGAAATGGATTCTCTGTGCAGAGCTTCAGTGCTACAGCCAATATGCCACTGGTTCATCATAGAAAGTCCACATTAGCTCATTGGCTTCTGGAGCTCACTGGGCCCATGCCATGATCAGCCTCATCAAGTCTCAATGATGCTTCCTAGATCCTTCCAACTGTTCTTTTCTTGAGCACTTGTCTCTCCAGTTTCAAATTATTGGTATTTAGCTGGACTAAATTCATGTCCGATGAAATTTCTTTTGATTGCAAAAATTAAGCTTGATTGGGACTTCAGTCCTGGTTTCAAAATTCAAATCCGAGACCCTGTTTCCATGAATGAAG